GCGGCGCGCGAGGGGCTCTCCCTGACGGACTGACGGACTGACTGACGGACACCCGCCCGCACCGCCTGACACCCTCACAGACACCCTCACGCGTTGGCTGACACCCTCGCCCGCCGCCTGACACCCTCGCGCACACGTAGCGACACCTTCCCTCGCCCCGGCGCCGCGGGGCGGGCGCCGAGAGGGGCTCGCGGCTCCGCACGTCGCTGCCGCCGTGCCCGGTGCCCGCGCGGCTCGCGGCAGGGGCGCCCCGCGGTGCTCGGTGCCCATCCCCGCGGGGTGCGCGTGCTCGTGCTGCGCTCACACCGCGGGTATTTGCGCCCTGGGGCTCGCAGCTGGACGCACTTGCACCCCCGGGCTTGTCCCGAGGCGCGTAGGTCCCTGTGCCAGAGCATCCCGCCCTGGGCGCCTCGCACCCATGGGTGCGCCCCCACGGAGGCACCAGCGCGCCCCACAGCCCCGGCTCCCGCCTGCGCCCGCTCACGGAGGCCCCTTTGCTCCCGTGGGTGTCTCGCTGCCGCCCGGGTGCTCCCCGGAGCGCCCCTGCGCTCTGCGCTGCCCGCGCTCGCCCCGGCTGTCTGCCCCCGTGGCCGCCCGTCACCCGCTGCCGCGGCGGCCGCCCTGCGCCCGAGCCGTGTGCGCAGAGCAGGGCCACCCGCTGCTGCTTGAACACCGCAGAACAGGGCAGCGCTTCTGGCTTGCACTCACACTTCCACCTGGCACCTTTTGCACGTACCTGCGAAAAACGGTCACCCACGATCACATGCTGCTTCTCCACACACTCTTACACACTTGGGGCTGCCGCTTGTCCCAGGGCCTCTCTCCTACCTGCTGCCTGTCACACATGTGTATATACATACGTGGAGCTATTTCTGTTCCCCGCACACCTCCTCACCTGTTCCATACCCCTTGTTCATCCCTTTTCTCACTTGCAAAGAGGGCCACTCCAGCCTTGCGTTGCTGGCCACGTAGACACGACACTGCCCAGCACTTCATGCATTGCCGCAAAACTTTATTTCAGTTAGTGCCACTCTGCTTTTTATTACCTCCCTTTTCCCTCAGTAACTTCATTGTCTCTTTGACCCAACTTGCAGGGCTTTATTCCTACTTTCCAGCCACGGGAACCATACGGTCACTGCTGCCAGTCCCTCCTCTTGCGCAGCGCACTGCCCTGCACCTCCTGTACGCTCCTCCACGTGCGGTGTCCCCCTCTCCCCATGCAACACAACGCACTCAAGCACACGTGCGGTGCGAGGCGCTGACGGACTGTGGGTTGTGGTTACAAGTGCCCCCTGCACGCGCGGCCCCGTAGAGCGCCCAGGCTGCGCGAGGCCGCCGTGGCCCGAGCCCCGTGCGGCCGCGCGGAGGCTTCGCCGCCCGCCCGCGGCACCCTGGCGCCCACCGTGCCGGCCCCAGGCCCCGCTGGCGGACGAGAAGGAGCCCGCCATCTCCTTGACCCCCGCTCCGTGTAGTGGCGCTCAGTTCGTTGCTGTTTGTCTCTCAGTGGCTTTTGTCCTTCTGTGAAAGCTCCCTGTTCTCTGACATTCATGCTGTCTCTTGGGTTCCACTTTGCAGACTGTTGAGCCTGGTTCATGCATGCCTGCTGGTTTTGAGTGGCATCGACCCTCTTAAATGAGTCTTCTTTTTGAAGTGTAAGGGTAAAATCCTTCTCAATAATGTTTTAACTGCTTAGGGTGACATTGACACATATATTCTCCTTTTTGTAGTTGCMCAAGTCTAACTTTTGTTTTTTTTGCTTTTGTAGCTGGAGCCCTATATGGATGAAAACTTTGTTTCAAGAGCCTTTGCTACCATGGGAGAGCTTGTACTGAGTGTAAAAATCATTCGAAACAGGTTGACAGGGTAACTGTTTATGTTTGTTACGAGCTCATTTTAATGAGTGTATCCTTGCATTTGGGTTGTAGTTTTTGCCCGTCACAGGGCAACTTTGTTACTCCTGTGTGTATTAGAATGATTTTCTTTTTGAGCTTTTCATCATTGCTGCCAACAATATAGGTATATTGATGATAGCAATGGGAAGGACAGTTGCTGGCTCTTCAACCTCTCCATCTCCAAGGTTTGCCCCTCATCCTGCAGTGCTTCCGAATGGCATGCGTATGGCATACGATCCACCTGGGAATGGCACGTCCTGGAGAGAGGGCTCCAGGGACGAGTCTGTGTTAATTGTTGCATTGTGCAGCTACGCGATGTTGGCCGAGGTGGAATGCCTAACTTAACAAGAGCCATGTCTTTTGAATTCATTGCGAATAAAGTGAGTGACTATATGCAGCTTAAAATACTTTCCTTTCTTGCAAGTTGCAACTTCCAGCTTTTTAAATTTGGGTGGGAAAATTTATGTTTAGTGAAATGAAGAGGTAATATATTTGTGAGCAAAAGTATTTTTTATGTTCTGACGTTGACGTAACTTTTTGGTAAGTAGGGTTTATCACAAAGATTACTTTGCTAGCTTCTTTTTGGAAGCTGATGTTTGTATTTTGAAAAAGAATTTGTCTAAATGTTGCTACAGTAGAAAACCTCCTAATGTTTAATCTAAACATGTAATAGTTGTTCTCAAATGTGTTTTAAATCTGAAATCTTTCTCTCTCCTCCTTTGTCTCTATGTTCAGAATTCCAGCAGGCTATTGCTTTGTAGAATTTGCAGATCTAGCTACTGCAGAAAAATGTTTACACAAAATCAATGGAAAACCACTTCCTGGTGCAACACCGGTGAGTAAATCAGATCCCCTGGTAAAGAAACAAAGTTGGGAAGGGGTAGATAAAGTGGAAACCGTATTTTGTGTAATGATTAAAACCAAGTTGACTAGTTAGCAAACTGAAATTCTTGTTTTCCTTAGAGGAAAAATTAACGAGCACAAAACTGTTAATGATCTTCCTCAGAATATTGTTAATTGTTAAAAAAGTATTAATTTCAATGTGAAAGATGTACAGATGAAATCCATGATAGAGATGTAAAGCATTTCTGAGCCTTTCTACTCTTACCAAAATTGGACTTATGAGAAATGAGACGAAAACAAGGAAAAATAGTTTGAATATACCCATTGCMGTCCATCTTACTTCATTGCTAGTGCCGTATTAATTGATTATAGAGCGTATGTTAGAATATAAATACAAGATGAACCTGAAGTAAGTTCCTACTGGTCTTTGAGTGGCTTTGATTTGCAAGAGAAGTGTGACTTTTAAACTTTGGATTATTCTTGGTCCTGAGCAAACAAGTTATTCAAGGCCACTCAGAGTGGAAGCAGCCCATTGTGCAACTGCAGTACATAAGAGATGCTCTTAGATACCTGAAAACACCTGGGAATAACAGAAGGATAAAAAGGAGGGATAGTCATAGAGGCTAATTTTAGGGTGTTGATTTGAATATGTAGCAGATTAAAATGGGACAGCTGGCACAGGTGTGCATTGTACCCACAAAAGTTGGCTCCAGTGGATGGTATGACTGAATGGCTCACAAAGCAGTTCCAGAATGACCTCAATTATAGTGGATTATGTTAAGGTAAAAAGACTTCTGCTTTCAGGGTGCTTAATACCCTGAGCTGGAACCTGAGGGGTTCAGATGTTGTTCCAGGAGCTGTGCAGTCAGCTTTCCCAACAAGGTGGCATCCTCCATCCAAAGGGGCAGATAAGAGGCATGGAGGACTTTGCTTCGCCTTTCAGTTTAATATGTCATGAGATTGCAAGTCAGAGACCATAGTTAAGGGAAACTGCCCTCCCTAGGTGCCTTCTGTAGCCACACAAGAGCAAGAGCAGCAGGGACACTATATTCATTGAAGTTAGTTTTGAGGAATAGCTGCCTTCACCCACAGTTTAATTCTGAATTGTGTAAAGGGCTATTTTACGTAATACATGGAGCCAGCATGAACTAGTGCATTCAGTAGGCAATTGTCCAGGTCATCCCTTACATTTAGATACTTTTCTCTTGTTTGCAGAAAACTGGATATGGCTCACTCTTTGTTTATTTTTGAATACTGAATCAGCAAGAGGAAGAACAGAGTTGCGGTGATGTTACTGTCTCTCTTTTACAGCAGGAGTGTCCCATCACTCACATGAGTAGAAATGCTGTTCTCTCACTGTTTTTAAATCCAAAATATTGCAGTGAAAAAAACAGATCCAATGAGATGCGCGTGCTTCAAAGCAGAATCCAGAAACTTGTGTTAGGCAGCTGAGCTTGTAAATGGTTGCAAAGCACTATGTGCAGGCATGCAGGGAGCGTGGTTATAGTCTAGACTATGTCACAGAATCCCAGAATGGTTGAGGTTGGAAGGGACCCCTAGGGATAATCTAGTCCAACCCCCCCGCTCCAGCTGGGACACTTAGTGCACGTGGCACAGGGTGGCATCCAGGTGGGTTTGGAAAATCTCCAAAGAAGAGAGGCTTTGCTCTGTTAAGGCTTCACTCTGTTCCCTAAGAATTATTTATGCTGTCACTGAGGGAGGAAAATCTTCTCATGCACTGTAGGAAGGAAGTGTCCTCATCTCTAGGTTATGGACTCGCTGTGCTCTTGCTTTCACTGGCCTAATTTCTCTTGAATTCTTCGATGCTTTGTCACTACGTAGCACAGAGAAAGGTTTGCTTTGGACAGTCCAGGGAGAGAGAAGAGTGGGGGTTTGGAGAACTTCAGACTGCRGAGGGAATCCAGTTTGGGTTTTCCACTGAATGAGTGCTGAAGACAGTATTCATGTAAAAGGGCGTAACCCTTTTCTTTTTTTTTTTTTTCTGTCATGTTTTAGAAGAAAACAGCGTTTGGCAATGAGCCTACTGGGGCAGTGTGTGTTAGACATCACGTAGGAATACCTGTGGGATTGAGCACTTTGGGACTTTGATGCGGAAGATGAATTGCTGATTGGGTCCTAAGCAGACTTAGATAGGAGCTAGTGCCAGTAGCACAAGTCTAGGCCTTGGGGAGCTTGTAAAAAAAAAAGAGGTGCAAAGTTTAGGGAGGCCACCAGTGTCAAGTGACAGGAAAGTCACTTTTGGGAATACTGATTTGGGCTTGAGATCATAATTATGTTGAAAGTCCCATTGAGAGACACAAACCATTTCTGAGGATCTGACCAGATGAGTGCATCAACCAGCACAAAGTATTCACTACTCTTGTAAGTCACAAGTGTGCAAGAATGTGTTCTATCATTCGTGTTAAGACCTTAAAATTAGGAGAAGTCATTTAATATTAATGATTAGAACCTCAGTTCTTGAAAGTGTAAAACTTTGATGCTTTTTGAGATTGACCTGTCTCGCTAGCTTTATAGACTGTTGAAGTAGAGTCCAAACCTTTTGGTGCAGGTTCTGAGCTACTTCTCACTGTTGTAGCTCTACTGAAGATACAACCAATAAAAATGTCCTTGTTTTCTTTACTGCCTGGCCTGGCAGCATTGGACTTCTGTCAATATTAAGAGATTTGTGTAAAATAAACTTATTATATTTTTTCCTAACTGCTTGGATTCACATGAGACTGTTTGAATATATGGATTCATTTTTGCCTTGTTTCAGGCAAAGCGATTTAAATTGAATTATGCAACGTATGGAAAACAGCCTGATAACAGGTAAACACTTAATATTGAATAGTTTTGCCTGTTTAATGTCTGTTTATCAACTGCCTTGCAAAGAGTATTCAAAAGGTGCAAACCCACAAGTGCATCGTGGCTTGATGAGATCTACAGCTGGCAAAAGCTGGAGCTTTTGTGACATGCACACAACTGAAGTATGTACCATTTTGTGTAGCAGTGCCAAATAATCCCGTACTTAAGAAAGCAGATTATGGTTAATTGTTGTGAAAGACGTTGTAGCTGCTTCTGTTGCTGTAGATCTTTTTAGTGCTCTCTACGTATATGGAGATGCATCTAGTCCTGATACTAGCACCTAAAGACAGACGCGGTGGTTCCACCAAACCTACCTTTCCTGGCTGGAGCACCACAGCAGTCAGGAGAGAGAGAGGTGCTCTGAACCGCCCTTGGGAAATGCCCTTTTTCTGTTGACAGTAAAAGGTGCATAAGGAGACAAAGCGGCTAAATAAAGTGCCTGGGTGGTGTGAATACCTTTCATAACGCCCGCCCAGAAACGCTTACACAGTTAAAGTAGTAATAACACGAGGAGATGCTCAGGCGGCTACGTGCGAGGCTGGAAGCAACACAGTCCTGTAATTTATTAGAGCAGGGTTAGTCATATCTCAACAATTACTCTTCTATTTTAAGTGATTCTTTTATGAAACTTAAAAAAAAATAAAAAAAAAAAACCTGTCTTTTAGATTAGAGTCAAGGCAAGACAGGCCAAAAATGGAGGAAAGTGAAGGATTTTTGTTTTTATTTTCTGTTAACTCATTCTTTCAATTAGCTGTGCCCTGTGATTGATCACGGAACCTTTCCAATTTCCCCATGAATCTGTAGTGGAGCTGGGAGAAGAATTTAGATCTTCTGTCAGTTTTATGTTTTTGTATCGCACAGCAAATTTGAGACCGGAGTGTGTTTTAAGATACTCAAAATTTTTAGAATCAGAGTATCTGATTCTTATATTATCTTCTAAGAAAACTGTATTGCACATAATAAATCTATAAATGAGATACCAGACAGCAGACTTTGATTCTTCGTAAATTCAGAGCATTCCACCTATGCAGATGCTGTCAAAGTATTCAAGTTTCACATTTATTTCTAAATATGGTGCTACTAAACTTTGCCTGAGAGAAATATATATTTTTAAATTAATTCAGCTAATTTAATTAGAGATGTTTATGCTTTCTTGCAGCATTTGAAATCCAGATATAGTGCCATGTTCAAAACACACATGAACATGTTCAGTGTTCTGTAAGAACTAAAAAAAAATTGTCTTTAAATAAAAAGCCGTATCAAACAGATTGCTTGAACTAATAGAAAAAGCAATAGAAAAAGCAATGACCTTCATTTCAGTCAACTAAGCAATTTAATTGGAGGTACTTTAAAGTGTCCATTAAATGATGCTTTAATATCACTGCTGTCTGAGCTCAAACATGTGGGGKAAATGTTAGCTGTCACTCAGCACACTTTCTCTGTGATTATGCTTAAGAAGTTTTCTTTTGATTTCTTTAGTCCAGAATATTCACTTTTTGTGGGAGACCTGACTCCTGATGTGGATGATGGCATGTTATATGAATTTTTTGTTAAAGTTTATCCATCATGTAGAGGTGGAAAAGTTGTTTTGGACCAGGCAGGAGTATCCAAGTAAGTCATCTTTTATGCCTTCCTTTCTTTCATTCCACCTGCAGCAGTGGGCAAATACAGCATCTGTTAAAAGTATGAGATTTTATCCTTTTCAAAGGAGGATGTAATGCAGCAGGGGAAAAGTATTTTGATCAGCTTACTGTTTTGTGAAACCCATGGCCACTAACCAGTCATCTTAGATACACGGTATTTTGAGGTTTCAATCTTTGCTGTAACATTCTGTTGCTTCTCTGACAGATTGATGATCTTCATGGGCTGGCAATATGTTACAGGACTCATGAGAATCATGGAAAGTGTCTAAGTAATTTAGAAATGTTGGATCTCTGCACTTCCAGATAGTGCTGGGCTTGTACAATCTTTAGTATATTACCCTTGTCAAAGTTTTATTAGTTTTGGTTTCAAACAGGATAATGCAAACAGCGCTGTGATTCACTGTCAAGTGCTTACTAGCCGTCATCTTCATCCACTGGAAATAGTTCACCAAAAACAGATACTAAAAGCTGGTTGCCTTGATGGCCAAAGATGTTCTCAGTGCCGTAACAGGAAATGAAATCGCCTTTTCTCAGGAGAAGGACAAGTTGGTCAGCATCCTTGTTTTCAAAACAAAACATATTTTTGATATTTTGATGAAACATGGTATTCTACGTTGTGCTAAGACTTAAAATGCAGCTGCAATCTCCCCTCTTTCTCGCATGAGTCTCGTCCTCCCCATTGCCCTGTCTGCTCAGGCTTAAACCCAGCAGTGCCTGTTCTCACAGACTTGCTTGAGGCACAGCCTGCAGAATCGGTGATGGGCGATGCAGGGCGATGAAGTGTCCCCATCACTTGAGTTTTGGGGGCAGTTGCTTAAATGCACAACCAGGGAGAAAGGAATGTGGTGGCTCAGAAAGCAGAGAGGGGCAGGGACATAAAACCTTTTGCTCTCAGGGGCACAAATGTCTTCTCTGTCAGGGCCAAGATGTGTTGCAGAGATTTTTTTGTGATTTGTGCAGTTACTCAGAGCAGAAGCAACTGCAGGTGTCTGTGCTGAGAGAGAGGAGCCTGGGGCTCGTGGACGTGTCTAGGAAAGCGCTGCCTGGAACAACAAGGTGGCTCAGGTGGAAGCTCCAGAAGGGCTCCATGCAGCTCCTGCTGCCTAGGCTGGAAAGGAGTTTGGGGTCTGATGCTGTAGTACGTCCAGAAGCTACTATAATTCCGTGTGCAGAAGCCTAAAGCTGATTTAAAAGTGGGCTAGCACTGAATTAATTTGTCACTGTGCTTTTGCAGAGGCAAGTTAAACTGTGATAACAGCATCCACCCGTGTTGAGCTTGGTTCTTGCTTAGTTGCTCCAGTTTATATATAGTTTGCATATAAACAAAKCTGAATTTTGATTTGGGCTTGTATATATGTGGAATGTGTAATCTATAGACATATATAAATACAGACTTGAATAGCTTGCTGTGCAACGTTACATTTCACAGGGCAGCAGCTGCTCTGTTCATTGCCGGTGTGGACCTCCTCTGGGTGATTCCATTTCCCAAATAGTGTCTCTGTGCTTAAGAGTTCCCACAGAATAGATAATATGCTGTAAATGTACACCCTTGCTCACGGCTGCCTCACTTCCCCGCGTAGACAAGCCCTTTCCCTCCCGTATTCCTTTGCTCTGTGGATTCCTTTTTCCCTCCCACACGTCAGCCTTTGATCTTGTGCTGCGTGAGGCAGCCCATCCCATGCCGGGATCCTGGCACTGCCCTCTTGGATGCTCTTGCGTTGCCTCTGAGTCACTACAGCAGCAAAATCCCACGCAAAGGACCTTTGGGGATGGGGGGAAGCAGCATTTTCTGTCTAGATAACATCCACCACTGCTGCACTGCTGTGAAGGATTGCTAAATTGTGGAGGGGTTGCTGGCAGTCTGCTGCCGCTGTCCAGGTAGTGCTGTCACAGCAAGTTTTAGCAACTTGACATTAAGAACTCGTTTTCAGGTTCCCTGCTGGGAGAGCTGTGCTCTTGTTAGGTATGACAGAAAGCCTACTGGAATATTTCCCTGTTGAGAAAAGGATTTGTTTGRGAAGTTTTTCTCAGTTGAGCTGCAGAAAAGCAGTGTTTCTCTTCACAGGGGCAGTTTTAGGTTTAAATGATGGCCTGTGTCTTTTCAATACTCTGCTGACTTGCAGCTATTGAGATTATCCTCCCCATATAGATTTGAGGCTTTGGTAACTGTCTGTTCACAGGTTTCAACATGTCTTTTGCCAGCACACCTAAGAGTTCCCCAGAACACACTGGTGCAAGCTCTGCTTCACATTTCTGAAGCCCTTGAGAAGTAGAACTGACATTTAGATGTACCTAATTCAAATGAAATAATGTCACTCCAACAAGGAGTCATTTAAATTCCAGGAAAAGCTTGGGCGTGCCCGGTGAAAATGTTTCATTTGTGGTAGGGTATTTTCAAAACCAATTTAAATTTCACTGTAAATATTTGGGAATAAAAAAGATGGCACGGCTTGTGTTTGTTTGATAAAATTATTCTGGGTCTCTGCAGAGGTTATGGGTTCGTGAAATTCACGGATGAACTGGAACAGAAAAGAGCACTGACAGAGTGTCAAGGAGCTGTGGGGTTGGGCTCCAAACCCGTACGCTTGAGTGTGGCTATACCAAAAGCGTGAGTATAAGAGCAGCCAGGTGTTTAAATCACACATATTTCTAAGTATCATTTTGTGGTTTGGATGCATATCCCGGATGTTTCCTTCACAAAGTGAAGGAACACGCACAAATATAATGAAATAGCCACAGAATCAGAATGTGGAGGAATCAAAAAAAAATGATGATGTTATATCGAGACCATTTTACATTGTTTTAATTATGCACAATGGTAAATGCACAGACCTGTACACACACTGTATTTAAATAAGATTATTTTTGAAGTATATGTGCTTTTGCATTAAATTGGAATTGTCTAAATCTGCTTGTTGACTTTTGGATAGCAACTTCAATTACCTTGCTAATTCTATAACAATGTCTACTAAATATAAATCTTTTGGGGCAGGGATTAACTTTTTTTTCTGTGTTTGTTCAGAACCTGATACAATGAGATCCTGGTCTGACTTGGGGCTCGTAGCACTAGGGTAATACGAATAATAGAAATTACTCCCTATTTAATAATATTTAGATTTTCAGTGACCTCAGAAGCTGGGGAGGGGGGGAGATTAAAGGAGAGAAAAGCAGGAAGAGGGGATGTATTGTCGTGGAAGACTCTTTGATTTCACCATTAGGTATAGTCTTGTGTATGGAATATTTTCATTTTCAAGCAATACTTATCACCTCATCTCAAATCTTGATAATCAGGTGGGATTCCTAATCCTTTGCGTGTGCTGCCACCCAAATGGCACCCATTATGTCAATGAATGAAAATTTTCCTAACTTACAGACAAGATAATTTTTTTTTATTATTATTACTCTAGTCCTTTTGGCCTCAGGAGCTTTGTAAATTGTGTGCACTGAAGGTTACCCAGTTCAGTGAGAATGGGGATGACAACTTGTTGCACAGGCTGCTGTGTAGTAATGGCAAAAGGGAGGAGATTTTTCCATTATTAGTAAAACCCCCATTGTTTTACACGGCTGCAAGTCCTTAGCTCTTCACGCAGAGCGAAACTCAGCACCTTGTCTCAGGAGGCTGCAGAATACTTTCTTCATCGTAATTATCAGAAGGAAAAAAAGGTCCTAGAATCCATATCACTAGTTCAAGAGTTTCTTAATTGGGGCTCATCCTCCCAAACTCTTTCCTCACCAAAGTCAGGAAATGATCCTAAATTGCTCCTAAGAGTGAAGAAGTTTTATTAATCAAGAGGATAGTGAATACAGGGAAAGGGTTTTAAATTAAAGCACCTCTTTCTTTCTGCAAATTATGGAAATGTTAAGAACAGCAGCAATAAATAGTGAGTTGTTTTGAAGACTGAAATTTGCATGTTGGAATTAGCCTTGTTTATGTGCCATATAGAACCTTAAGCTATTTCATTTCACTGCTTTTTTTCATAAGTGTTCTGCATTATGTGTAATTTACTCCTGTTTTATTTTTTTAAGTAATCGTGTGAAACCAGTGGAGTACAATCAGATGTACAACTATAATTATAACCAGTATTATCAACAGTATCACAATTACTATGCCCAGTGGGGCTATGACCACAACACGGGCAGTTACAGCTACAGTTATCCCCAGTATGGATACACGCAGAGCACAATGCAGGTAGGACAGCACCGAGTGGTYCCACTTTAGGCTTATTTGCACAGAAACACAAAATGGGCTATGAAAGGTACTGGGCATAATCTGTGATATCTTATTTTCAAGTTTTGAGGTCTTAATATAGCCACTTGCTGAGGAAGCAAAACTGTTTGGCAGCCCTTGGCCTGTTTTGTTGCCTTGTGCGTGGGGTGTTGCAAGGACTGGGTCGGGGAGAGGCCCCTGGACACAGTTGTGGTAGAGGGATCCTCTTGGTGCAGGTAGCTGGATGGCCAGCAATAAAACTGCCTTCCAGGAAGGCTCCCTAAGCTTGATCTGTAGGGTAGGGCAGAACAGATCAGTCACTATCTACTGCCCTGCAGGAATTGCAAAATCTGCCTCTGCTGGAAGCTGAGTGTGGGATCTCCCCCTTGGAGTCTGCTGGGAGTGGCTCTCCGGGCTTGCGTGTGAAGGCTGCTGTTGTAATCACAAGATACAGAAGGCAGTGTATGACAGTAGTAATCAGCAGGTGATGTTCTTAGGAAAGATAAGTATCTGTAGTCCTAAGGGGTTATTTTTTGTCTTTGCAGACATATGAAGAAGTTGGGGAGGATGCGTTGGAAGGTATGTTTCTCGAACTCTTTACTGCAGTTGTCAATTCCTTTGCACTGATTASAACTGTTCTCAAATTGACCCTTAAATTCAATGTATAATGTATGTTTATTTTGGAATAAATTTGAGGCCTGAAAAGAAATGCAGGTCAGTATCACACAATTGCATCCCAAGTGTGCACTTGCTGTGGCTGGTCTGAGCCTTGCTAAGTCTGAAGCTRACTGGCTTCACTAGCATTAGAGGATTTGTGGACTTGTATCCATATCTCCTTAGCTCTGAAAATACAGATTTCAATCTTGTGGAGCATTCCAACTATACACCTTTTTCTTTTTTCCTTTTTTTCTTTTTTTCTGTGACAAAGAAACAAGAATTCTGTGATTGTGCTGATCTGATAACCTGATCTTCAGATCATGGGTGTTGTTAGGGAAGCTTTAAAACCTACAACTGGTTTGGTGAATAAAAGGAGTTGATTCTGCAAAGTGTGAGCTGTGCTGTGGTGGCAGCAGCATTTTGCACTTTGGGTATTGCTCTCAAGGCCCCAAGTTCTTTGCAGAAGGCACCCTCTCCTTGCCTTGCAGGCCGGTGTCTTGGTGCCAGCACACTTCTCTGGCAGCGTGAGGGGCTGCCCGGGGCTGCAAGGGGCAAATGTGCTCTCTCTGCTCACCCTGCTGGGGGGCAAACTGTCGCTGAAAGGAGGGACACACCTGGAGCTAGTTATTGCTGACCCCATTGCATCAAGATTTCCTAATCTAGTCAGGTCTGCGACTGGGCAAGTGATGGGAATGCTTTGTGGCACCCCCTCCTCATCCCCTTGCCTGCTTTTGTCTTACTAAAACTTAACACATTTTAGGGGATTGGGTTTTTCCCAAGCTCGTTTGACACGCGACCCATTTGTCTGGCGTCTTCCCTCTAGATCCGACGCCTCAGTTGGATGTCCACGAAGCAAATAAGCAGTTTATGGAACAGAGTGAAGAGCTCTACGATGCCTTGATGGACTGTCACTGGCAGCCTTTGGACACTGTCTCCTCAGAGATTCCGGCCGTGTTATAGCCTCGTTGCTGAGGCCCTGTGTGTGTGACAAACCCGCCAACGCACTCGGGGCTGCTCCGCTGCGCCTGGACCCTGCAGCAGTTTGGGGTGGCCCTTTTGCCACCCAGCTCGGTTCCTCGAAGCGCAGGAGGACTGGGGCGTCTCCTGTACGCAATGAGTATCATAGGAGCATCATGGTAACTTTGATTCATGGTGGAAGTTAGAACTGCGACAGTTTTATTCCTTTTGTCTTGAAATGAACTCTTAACACTCCTTGGGAATTGTAATTTATAAACTTTCAACAAGATGGCACAGGGGAAAGACTCTACTCCAACGTACAATAAAAAAGTTGGTCTTTTGAGTAAAGTTAAAGCATTTTGGTTGCTGCCCATCTCTCTGTTTTCCTGTCCATTTAACTGTCTTCAGTCATTTGATCCAACTCTCGTAAATGTTTTTTTTTTTTAAAGTCCATGTCAGATACCACTAGAACGTCTCAAAGGCTTTCTAGTGACYGGGTGAGGTTGCTGTAACTTGAGCATGGGAATCACATAGATAAAAGCTTATGTTTACTTAATCTAAGCTGTGATCTTGAGCTACCAAGTTTATAGCTTGGCGTTTTTAAGCAATCTACTGGAAAAGCACTTTGGAGACAGAAAGGTGTTACAAAGCTATGGAAGACCAATGCCTTCTACGTGGTGGTGTCTGGCGCAGGCTGGCTTGCCTCCTCATCCGTGTATGAGGAAGTATTTCCCCAGCGGTTAAGCAGTTTAAAACACTTTTACCAGCAACCTCGTTTAAATATGATTCTGTGTATCTTATCTTTTTCGTTGTGGGAAGTTCTTGATGGTCTCATTAAGATACTAAGATTTCACAGTGTCTTCCACTGTTTTGTCAGAGTGAATATGGTGAAAATGAAGATTTTGCAGCAAAAAAAAAAAAAAAAAAAAAAAAAAATAGGGCAATTAAAAAAAAATATTTTGAAAAAAAAAAAAAAAAAAAAAAAAAAAAACGGGTCAGAGCAATCTAATCAATATATTGTGCAACAAATTGTTGCGAATCTGAAAGGCGTTTTCTACTGGATATTGTATAAGCTGGATGGACAAGCAATATATTTAAGCTAATATTATGTTGCATTAAAAGTGACAGCAAAAATAATAGCACTTATGTACATGTTATAAGCCCTTTTCAGGCTTTTGTGCCTTAAACTCTTTGAAAAATAGGAGCAGACAAAACTACCTGTAATAAATGTCTATCCAAGAAATAGTTTGGTAACTGAAATTGCTGCTGCAGAGCGTTTAGTTGCCTCCCTGCCCATGTTGATGCAGAAATTTGCCACTAAATTGAAATACTTTCATAAAGCCTACTTCTGCTACACCTTTGTTTGTGTCCATAATTATGATCTATTTGTCAATCTGTGGTCTTTTTTATCAACTGCAATGATGAATGTGCTGTGGATATGAAGGTAGTGGTGATCTCCACGCTGGGTTTAGCATMGTTTGCATGAGCGCTAGGAGAAATACTGGATCCCTGTGGTCTTGTCAGTGGGGGCTTCTTTCCTCCTGCTGCTCTTTTGGCTTTGCTGCGGGCTCYGAGCACTACCCTGAGCTCCAGTGACTCTGGATTTCAGTGCCTGAGTGTTTGCTCACRGGGATGGTGGTGGTTCAGAGGGAGCAGACAGGTGGAAGAGGGCAGAGTTTGGGGCTTCTCACGTGGCTGGGCAGTGTTGCTGAGCACCGAAATGATGCCCTGCTGCTTCAGAAGCACCTGCTCAGCAGAGTTGTGTTTTGGAGGTGACATGAACTTTTTTCCAGTCCTCTTGCTAAAGAGTTTGTAGGTCATACTGTTGCGCTACAACAGTGCAGTGTACAGAGTAGCACACTCTTCATCCTCCTTTTCCTGTCCTGCATTTCCCTCACCCTCCAAATTTTACTTGTAATACAGCCCTCATAATTCTCTACAGGAGCTGACCTGAAGCCACGTTATTTTATCTGTACAAATGGATGCTGCTCTTCTAAATCGGGTCAGCACTGCTGTCCTGTTCAATATGCACACATACTGGGTGCTTAGGTGGAGGACAATTTGGGAGGTGCAGGGGCCAGCAGATACTACCTGCTGGAGCCTATTTACAGGTGCTGTAGACTCTACCATAACCCGTGTGTTTGCTTCTAGGAGAAGAGCTGGTGAGAGGCTTCGGGCCGCATTCTCGCTACCAAGTGAGGCTGGCGACTGATGGCTGAGAAAGAGAGAGGCAGCTGCCCACCGCAATGCTGAGGACGCAGGGTAAGGAAGGCACAGGGCACTTGGAGAAGAAATACGTTTCTTTAAAGCTCTTGGTCAAATTGGGAGTTATTTTGGAGGGAAACAGGGTCAAATACTTTCCTTCCATCCCCCCCGAAAATTTASGGAAAGTGAAAAAAAAGTTTCACCCTACCAAGCTTAGTGAGAGAAGCAGCTTCCTCCCCAGCATCACGTTGTAGTTGTTTGTTTCCAGTTACCTTTACCCGCTTTTTTTTGGGCTGTTTTCTTAGAATTTGAGCCAAGGTTCTGTTGTTCGTCTCTTGGGACTTTTTTTTTTTTTTTTTTGTATCACATGTTTATTCTTCTTAATGTTCATTTTCAGCTCCCGGCCACTGTTGCAGCACCTGGACTACAGAGGAGCCTTTTATGTGGAGCTGCAAAACATCCACTCACCTGGATCGGTAGGTTTTGTGTGTTGGAAGCCAAGATAAACGGAGTGTGGGATTTTGTTTCTCTTGGATGGCTACAGGAAAAGCCCTGATTAATTAGCATTTAGTGTAATGCAAGATGAAAGCCAAGGACTCCATGTAGTAAGGTAAATAATACTTTTATCTTTACAGGCTAAAGGCAAGAAATTTCAGGGCAGATGATATCACAATATGCTAGAATTACATGCTGCTTGGAAAATTGCATCAAAATCTGCAATGTAGATTGTGAAGTGCTCTGCCTCTCGGCATGCAGGGCTTGCTGGTGATTACAAAATGTCTTAAGCAGTCTCACTATTATCCTTGTGATGATTCAATTTAGATTATTATGTTTAAATTGCAGGCCCTCTTGGATTAGTGTAAGCTATACAGACTGAAATGATTAGCCAGCTATGGGGTTGAAAATATGTAGGTGTTACAGTGATTTCCAAACTGCGTGGTGCCTTGTTGCCATTACTCTCTGTTTAATTAACAGTTTGTTGGTTTGGATGAGCAGTGGCCTGGGAAAAAACTCTGAAAGCTGCCAGTGCAGCCCCATGCAGGGAGTAGAGGGCTGCGATGGAGAGCCTGCAGTTACRCTCTCTGTCTCCCTGTAAAGAGGATTTCTCTTGTCTCCCAAACTTGGGCCAGAGAAGTTTGTAGCCTCCCTAGATCCTGTCCCACGCACTTTGAGCTCTGCTTGGACACCTCCTGGTTTTTCTTTGTAACAGGATAGCACGTGAATTGCAAATGCAAGAACTACACTGAAAAAAGAGATAAAGTCAGTTCAGGAAAAGTTACCCTGACAAACTTTCTTTACCTTTTCACTTGTCCCAAATATTTYTTTGGAAGGAAGCCCCTCTTGCTTCCAAGCTGCTATTCTTTTCTGCCTTTGCAGCTCATCCCAGATTTGGTAAGAAGAGTTTTATAGTCACATACTCAGTCTTGCTCCACTAACAGGCTGCTTCTCCTGTAAAATATGCACGATGAAAGCAGTGGTAGATAATGAGGTGAAAATGATACCCATCAGCAGCTGTGCATGAGCAGGGCTGGTCTTGTCCTCTCTGCTTGCAGGCCCCTTGGGGTCTGCAGGGGTTAGTGAAGGCAGTGGCTCAGTGTCTTGCTTTTTTGGGTTTTTTTTTGGGTTTGTTTGTTTGTTTTTTCTTTTTACAAATTGTTTTTTATCAAGCGCTTCCCTTTGGGTGACACCATCAGAGCCAATGTCAACTCCTGTCCTGAGGTGAGGATTGCAGGTCCTGCCGTACGAAGCTGCTGGACAGAAGAGCCCAAACCGTACGGGAGGCTTGACCAGAGCCCTCGCTGGACTGCGGTCACGCACCACCAATACAGAGCAGGATTTTCTTCACTTCCATTYGGAGCTCTGTTTCTCTCCCTCATTTGGGCAGGGAAGAGCTTTGGTTTTCAGGATTSTCGTTGGCATCTTTCCCCATTTATCACTTGGAAGATTTTCTCTTCCCAAACACTTGGTGTTTATCAAGGTCTTCAGAATCTTTATTTTTTTCTTTTAAGCTCCCAGGCCCTGTGATGCTTTGGGATCTGCCGGGGAGGTTTCTGTGCTCACTCTGCCGGTGGTACCGTGCCAAGGAGAATTAGTCCATCTGGGAATGGCGCATGACTCCGCACGGCAGCTGCAGAGTTCACGCAGCAGGCGGCCGGCACCACCTGCTTGCGAGCTGTCCCCACCACATTTGTCAAGTAGTGTTTTTAGAAGACTTTGGTCATGCAAGATTTGAGGCTCCTTTTCAGACTTGTTGCTGCTTTAAATGAGTGCCAGATTTTTCTTCATGGGTGATCTGGCAACTTTGTGCTGGAATAATGAGATTAAGGGGTGATTCCTAAGCAGGAGGAACCCAAAAGTTGCCAACATTGCTTGGGACAGATTAAAAGTTAACTGATTTTCTCTCCTTTTCCCCCCTTCTCCAGGGCAGGAAGCAGACATTTCCGCCTGAGTCTGAGATCCAGGATTTCATCCGCGCTTCTCCTTGCGGCTATGGCTTCAGCGTTGCTATCTGCATCAGGAGGCCCTTCCCATCAGCGAGCAGGTGCTCTCCTTTTAACTGCTCTCCACTAATTAGACAGGGAAATGACAGAGATATTGTTTGGGCAGACTATTGTTCCCAAGAAACTTTCCTCTGATTCTCGGAGGACAGGGTGTCTCTAGCTRTGATAGGGGAACAACWAARGRRGGRAMMAMCMRGGRAAAACCTGAGGCCCTCCGACTTTGGAGGGAGATCCCAGCTTTTCCTGCTGCAGTGCGAGGATGGTGCGTGGGGGGGTATCCTTGGGAATTGGGATCACCCTATGGCATWGGGGGGAGGCGGCGCGAACTACAACTCCCAGAAGGCGCTGCGGGAGGGCGYGTCTATGGGAGCCAATCAGCGCCCGCGCTGCCGGCCTATAAAAGGCCGCGGCGGCCGGGTGTCGGCCTCTGCCCGCGGTGGTGGCTCTGCAGGTGGGTGATGGCGGCGCGGAGAATCCGCCGCCATCCGCCGCGCCCGCGGGTTCCCCCCGCCGCTCGGCCCTGCCGCATCGGKGCTCCGGGGCTCCGTGTGCTGCCGGCCGCGTTTCGTGAGGCCGCGATGGGCCGTGAGGGAGCGGGCGGGCGGGCGGATGGAGAGGCCCTGTCGAAGCTGCGCCCGCTCCGCCGCGTGGCTGGCGCAGTCAAAAAGGAGCCGAGAGCGAGCAGTTTTCCCTGACGGTCGCCGCGCGGTTTGTGCTGCCGTAACTGCCTGGCAACATCCCGGGAAAAGACACAGCGCCGGCCAAGGGGCGGCTCTGCCGCGCTGCGGCTCCCCACGCCCGGCCCTTGCGCTAAAACCTTTCTTCTCTCTGGAAGAAGCYGCGTGACAGCGAAGCCCCCCGGGCTCCCGCCGCCGAGGAAGGTGATCCCGGCCAGCGAGGGCCCCGGCAGGTGAGGGCTGCCGTGGAGGCTCCGTGTTCTTCCCCCCGCTTTCCCCGGCCTCATTTGCGAGGGGCAGAGCTGGGAATGGGACGTCCCTGCGCGCTGATAAATAGCTCTGTAGCTGCCCCCTGTCCCTCTGCAGCCCCAGCGCGCTCTGCCGAGGCGGGTTTCTCAGCCCGCGTGTTAATCCAAGAGCGGCGGCTCCCCAGAGTAGCCTCYGCTCTCCAACAACACGCGAGAGCAACGGGAGGGTCTTTGACTRCCGGGCCTCTTCTGCCCGTCGCTGTCACTCGCCCCTCCTATATGTTCTCAGGGACGTATGTTACCTTGTTCCTCCTCCTAGAGTGCTGGTTTCTGGAGGGGGGTGTTGGTGACGTGTGTCCGGGAAGGACAGGATCTGCCGGCCGTTCCTGACGGTGCTGCTCTAACGTGTTGCAGGTTTGCAGGACGATGAGGCGCTTGCCGAGACCCACAGAGCCGCCTGCGAGGTGAGGACGGAGGCGCCTGTCGGAGCAGAAGCGCTTTGCCCTCCAGATCCCTTTCCCATTAGATCTGAATACCGATCTTGTGGTCGAAAAAGGAGGAAGAGCAAAATGCCGGCTGGCCTGTGCCTCTCTGCTCGTGGGCCGTGCTCTGAGAAGGGCCAGGCTGCAGACATGGCACCTTAGGTCTGGCGTGCTGCTTTGGGGGAGGCTGGAGCAGGAGTGAAACCTGCTGGTCAGGAAGGGAACAAGGGCATTGAGGATCTGTGCAGGCTGGCAGTGGAAGTGTTAGCGTGGAGATTGGCATACCCAGAAATGTGCGTGTGCCCAAGGAGAAGGTAACAATGTCGATCAGAGTCTTAGGGCTAGGGCTCACCAGGATCATGGTGAGTGGCTCTTTTTCAGAGACTAGGGGCAAGAACACAAAGCAGCTTGAACACTTGCAGTCAGCTGGGAGGGAGGAGTGTAAAGGTTGGGATTGGAACGGCTTTGTGCCCATCTTGTTTTGTAAAAAAAAGGGGGGGGAGTGGGGAGGAAACAAGGATGGTTTCGCTAAAACAAGAGGAACCGTGTGAAATAAAAACCATCGTACAGTGAGTTTTGTTACATAAATTGCTCCTTCAGGTTCCCTGAAGTGACTCGTGTGTGATTTCTCCTTCAGGAATCACTTGCTTAGTGGGAAAGGCTGAGAACTCATGGARTCAAGTCATTGATCCCCTGCTTCCATGGAGAGAGTCAAGTTTGCCCTGCAAAAGACCTGAGTTGTGTGTGGGGAAACTGCAGCTCAGCATGGGAGTGTCCTTGGGAATAACTCTGAGGTTGGTTCCGTGTTTCTTTGGGTGACATCTCGGCCATCCCAGACCACAAAGAACAGTGTACACCGTGCTGTGAGCTCTCCCTCTGCTGTCAGCAGCTCCTCTTTAATCCTTTCCCAAGCAACCAGTGGAAACGGCTGATCCTTAGCTGGAGTTTGCAGTGGGACGGGGCTCTCCGGGTGGGAATGATGAAGGTCCCTGGTATGGTTTGTAGTTGGGCAGCCTGGTATCCCCAGCCAGAGCATCTTGGAGGTGAGTGACAGCACAGCCAGCCTGGTCAGTGATGACACCTCTTTCTTTGGAGACTGCTGGATGAATCCTGCGGATATGGGGCTGAGGCCAGGCAGCAAACTAGCTAAAAGCACGGAGAAGCCCTGGGAGAGGGAATCCCAGGGACTTAGCCCTGAACGCAGCTGAAAACTGATGCTGTTCCGAGTCAAACTGCTCTTCATTCAGGTTCTTCCTTTTTCCTCTTCAGGTCTAAATGGAATGAGATGAGCGGTCCCAGTAACCAGCTTGTGGCTCCTGCATGGGGCAGGAGCTCCCCCGTTTGGGACGGCAGCTGCGGGGCGCAGGGCCCTGGTGCTGCAGGCAGCAGCAGCTCCAGTTCCTCAGTAACTGAGCACGGAAGCAGGTTTCTGCCATGGAGAGTTTTGGAAAGTGTCTGCACTTGAAATGTTTGGAGGACAAATAAAGTGCTTGACGCTCGCTGTGGCTCCTCGTGTTGTGGTGTTTGCTTGGGGCTGAGCTCTGGCTTCGTCCTTAATAACAGGGGCAGAGCTGCAGGTTCGGCTGGAGCAGCTGATCCCAACGGGGTTGAGGGGATCTCGTGGTCAGGGCTGTCCCCCTGTGACTGACAAACTCGTGTGGGTGACGCGCGGAACGAAGGGGCCTGCACGGGGATGGAGAAGGGAGTACCCTGGTGAAAGCCAGGCTGGAAAAGGAGCCAGGGATGGAAATGGAGGCTGCTCAGGCAGCTGGGTCTCTCCCTGTCTACTCCAGAAAGCAGAATAGTTGGAAAACTCTCTGGCTGGAAAAAAAAATACACTGGAAAGGGACTCCTGGCTTCTCTTCCCTGCCTTGCTCTGCTCACAAGCAGGGAGGTGTTGGGGTCCTAACGGGCTGGGGGAGCTGCAGCGCTGGGACACGGGCTGGGGGGTGCCCCACGGGAGTGGGGGCTGTGGGCACAGCGTGGCTTCCACAAGGATGTTGTGGCCTCATGGAGTCTAGGGAGCAAGCCCGGCGAGCAGAGGCTTTTCCTCCCCGAGCGCCTCAGGCGGAAGCTGGGGAACCCGGAGGGTGGAAGAGGCTCCAAGGGSCAGGGCCAGGGCCAGGTCCTAGCAGAGCGTGGCACCGTCCTCCTCTCTTCAGTGTCACCCGGGGCTCCTCCTTCAGGCACGTCCCTCAGCGGCACTGCAAGGTGGCCATCAGCAACGTGCCCCTCGTGCTGGTGGCCACAAGTGCAGCGAAGCAGCTGTGGCCTCAGCAGAGACGGGGGCCTCCGGGCGGTGCGGCCCTTGATGGCACTYGCGGGCCCGTCCACAAGGCGCTGCTGCCCGCGGGGCTGGATCGGGCCCAGTCCCAGCAGGAGCCTCGCGACGGAGCCCTGTCCCTGAGAATGGGATGAGACCCAGCGGCAGCGGCACACTGATGGGGGTCACCAAGGCAGGCTTGTTTCACTCCTGGGCCTCTCTTGGCCCGTGCTGGAGCAGGATGCTCCAAAGCCCCATCTCGCTCTCAGGAGACACAGACACAAGCTCAGCTTTGACCCTCGCATATGGGAAAAACCTCCCTCCTGCATCCACTTAAGAAACCAGGTGCTTTCCCGCCCCGTGAGGGCTGTGCCCGCGAGAGGCAGACGCGCTGCGCCCTGCGCCCGGGGCAGCACCGCCCCGGCRAGCCGGGACGCGCGGCGCCGGCGCCGGCTGGGCCCATGGAGGCCGCCTGGCACTACCAGTTCCGCATCATCATGCTGGGGGACTCCACGGTGGGCAAGTCCTCGCTGCTGCGGCGCTACACGCAGGGYGCCTTCCTGGAGGCCCCCGACCAGACGGTGGGGGTGGATTTCTACGTGCGGCACGTGGAGCTGCGGCCGGGGCTCCGCGTCAAGCTGCAGTTCTGGGACACGGCCGGGCAGGAGCGGTTCAGGTGGGTCTGGGCTCCATGGAGGGTGGTGGAGATGGGGGTGTCCAGGTGGCTTCTCCGAGGCCTCCATGGGAGTTGGGGGGAGAGGGATAGTGGGATCCAAACCCAAGGGGCACCCAGAGCTGTGTTGCTCGTCGTCATCCTCCTCGTGAGCCCAGCACCCACAGGCTCAACCCTCCTTCTCCCAGGGGGTTGCAGTACCCTGAGACCCCCCTCATTGTCGCTCYTCTGGGCTGGGGGGACCCACGATGTTCCTGCAAGACCCAAGTGGAGTCACTTCCCGCCAGCGCTGGCACCAGGACAGAGCCACCTGCAGCTGCCACCGCCCCGGGGACAGGGGGGACAGGGAGGCTCCCCTGGGAGCAGGAGGCTCTGGCTGAGCCCCCCGCCCTGGGCTGCTCACCCTCCTTGCCCCCCTCGCGCTGCCCCAGGTCGGTGACTCGCTCCTACTACCGCAACGCGGCCGGCGCGATGCTGCTCTTCGACATCACCAACCGCGCGTCCTTCGAGAGCGTGCGGGGCTGGCACCGCGACGTGACGGACGCCGTGCGGCCGGCCCGCCTCGTCTTCCTCCTGGTGGGCCACAAGAGCGACCTGGCGGGCGAGCGGCGCGTGGGCCGCACCGAGGCCGAGCGGCTGGCGGCCRCGCTGGGCGCGCCCTACGTGGAGACGTCGGCCAAGGACGCGAGCAACGTGGCGCCGGCCTTCCGCACGCTGGCGCTCGCCATCTACGAGGCGCTGCGCACGGGGCGGCCGGGCGCCGCCGCCGCCTGGGCCGGCATCAAGAGCAGCCTCCCGCTCCCGCCGCCCGACGAGCGGGAGCAGCCCAAGCGCTGCGCGTGCTAGAGCGGGGCTAGAGCGGGGCCCTGGCGCGGGCGCCCGCGGGACGCCGGCCGCCGCCTCGGCGCGGGCACGGAGGGCAGCGCGGCCCCGCRGCGCCACATTAAAGAGGCTGCGCTCACCTCCCCGCTGCCCGCGTCTTCCTGGGGTGATGGTGGCGGGGAAGGGGCACCGCGGCGCTTGGGAGGGTGCGGATGGACACTGCGRCGCTCGTGGCTGCGAGGGGCACRCGCGCGTCCCCMCGGCYGTGCAGGGAGGGCTCCCTCCTCTSCCAGCCCGGCCCGGCCCCGCGGCTGCGCTGGTTGCTCCTGTGCCCCCGGTTCCTCGGGGAAGGAGAGGCCGCGCTGGTTTCTGAACCGCTCCAACAGCCTCTCCCTGCGTGCTGGCAGCCCCCGGGGCCACGAGAGCTTGCTCTGGGGCACCCGCTGCTCCCATCAACCTTCCCCTGCACGTAGGGCACRCCCGGAGGCACCTGCTCCTCCTCCCCTGTCCCACAGCTCCAGCAGCAGCTTCGCCCCTTCTCACCCCGTTAGAGCAAGCAGCCAGAACCTCGCCCTCTCTTCCAGGGCCAGCACTGGAGATCTCCTACAGGCCGCACAAAACCCCAGCTCTCCCCCAGGCTGCTCCTTTCCCTCGCAGCTTCTCTCCCTCCCTTTTTAACAGCACAAAACTAAGTCGCGGTGTTAGCTTAATAATTTCTTTATTCATGTAAAACAAACGCAAGTATTTATATAAACACTGACATTACAAAGTACTGGAACAGGTAGGGGCGGGAAGGAGGAAACAAAAACCTCTACAGATGCTGCTAATACTGTCCCACACACGATCAAATGCTCTGTCCCTCGGATAATCACTGATACGATAAACCACTTTCAAGTCACAAATAAAAAGTCTTTGCTTTGAGATACGTTGCGCTCTGAGCGGGGATGAGGAAGGGGGCGTAGAAYGTTTTTGGCAGATCTCCCCATAAAGTCAGATATTGCTGCACCGTTAATAAAAAATATATGCTTCTCTGTAAGCATTAAAAAAAATATCCCATGGATGGCATGGAGGAGGCTTCAGCGGAGAGGCAGATATCCCAAAATGCACTGGCGTCGTCTCCCAGCTCTTCCCAGGGGTTATTTCTTGGTAGTTTTGCGGATCAACGCCATTCTCTGTGACAAAGAAGAGAAAAACAGGGGAAGCCAAGAGTCTCGGACAAGGAAACTGCAAAACAAGCTTGGAAACTACTCCAGTGGGAACGACGCCGAGCAGGCGGGATCTCGGGACACTGCCTGACTCGCTTCAACACAGGCCTTCCAGTTCATGGAAATCTTAATGTGCTCAGAGCCAGCGAAAAACAAAACACCTACAGTCTTAGAGGTGCTTATGGTCTCTACAACCCACGTCAAGGCCTTTGCCTCCCACTGCATGTTTAAACAGCAGCAGCCCCACGCATTGAAGAAAAACTAGGGGAAAACAGAGCTGCTCTGCTCCAGTCTACAGCTGAAATTCCAGAACAAGTGTCTCTCTCCCTGCATCTTCCCAGGCCTTTAYGATTTTTGCAGCTGTTTCCCTTGTTATGGTGGCAAACGCAGCGTGGAGGGTTCCAGTTACTCGCGCATGTGCTGCGCGTTTAGCCYAGCATTCTTGGACACGGATCTTCCACGGAACAAGCGGAGCTGCACGAAGATGGAGCCCGGGATGTGCCCGAGGACAGTTGGCACTGCCTGCAGCTCGGGGGGCTCTCAGTGTGAGCGCTCCCGCAAATAACCAGAGCAAACACAACTCTCTRCAGAGACGTGTGAGGGGACCCTACAAGGGGATTCAATTCCAAACCAGTGGGAAGAGACGATACAAATACACAAAGTGCCAGCAGCCCCGTAAGACTCTCCTCTGTCACCTTCTATCTACTCTAGGTGTTAGCACCAAGGGCTCCGTACCTGTTTGTGAGCTTCTGTAGTGCAGGCTTTTTTGTAGGGCCTGATTTCTTCGGAACCAAAGCCTGGGATCCACATGTTCCACTGGCGTTCTGGAAGAGAGGGCACAGGGTGGCAGTGATGAACACTATCCTGGTCAGGTTCGCCCTGGTGGCACGGGGTGTGCCCAGCTCTCACCAGAGGCAGAACAGCCACTTACCGAGATGCAACTGGACGTCTTTGACTTCCAGCGTGTTGGATTTGCGGTGCCGCGCGAGCTGGCACGCTGCCGTCACCACGCTCTCTATGAAATCGTCAGCGATCTGCAACAGCATCTGTCACGGAGCAAGGACAGCAAGCAGCCTCATCACCCCCGAGCCGCACGGCCCAGAGCGCGCCAAGCGACGGGCTCGAGCTCTCAGAAGCAAATACTCAAAGGCATTTGCTGCCCCTGCAGTTTTAAAGCCCTCCCTAGCATTGGGAGGCCTGGAGCCTGCAGGAAACGTGCAGCAGCGGAGCAGGAACCAACCCCTCCTGCTCTGACAAGGGAATCCTGTTCTGGGGAGCCCCGGGCCGGCTCCTCGGTATCTACCTCCTCCACATCCTCATCCAGCTGCTCGTTCGGGTCCACCTCACGCACCAGGTCCTGTAGTTTCTTCTTGGTTAAAACCTGCAAGCAGGGGAAGGAAGGAAGAACTGAYGGCCCTACCTTAGCAAAGCAGCTGCCCTCCCAGCAGAGACCTCGTGCCCCACTCCCCCGAGGCCCAGGTGACGCGCGGTGACACACGGCAGCACGTCAGGAAGGGCCGAAATGGGAAGGACCAGGTATCGAGGAGCTATTTCCAAGTATCCCTGCCAGCTTTGACCAGATAACAGACCTCAGTGTAATAAATTATTTTATTTTATTACACACTATTACATCCCACRTAGTAGGATTTTAAATAACCCTACTCCGTGAGGACGATGGCTCACTCAGAAAGTGATTGATCCTTCATTATTACGCATTTCCCAGCAATTTAGAGAGGAACCAACTGTTTTCCCTGCCGTGCCACAGCCAGGGATGAGGTTACCTGGTTGCTTTCGGGACTGAGCCGCCCTCCTCCGCTCGGCGTCCCCGGCATCTTTGCCACCGTGGTGCTGTTGGCCATGGAGCTCTGTGGCGGAGTGCTGGCKGGTTCCGGCTTTATGGAGGAGAAGTTGGAGAGGTTGATCAAGGTAGAGGGGCCAAACTGGTTCATAATCTGTTGGGCTTTAGCTTTCAGATCATAAAGCTTCTCCAGGTCTTGCTTCTTCTTGGGGTTGTGGGGACCCAAGCCAATCAACTGGAAAAGAGAGCAAGGGTTAGCCATGAGAGAAGGGAACTCCAAGGAAGTGAGAGGACACGGAGCTTTGTGCGGATCAGGTCTCTCTGGACAAAGCAGGGAAGGGAAAAGTTTTAGGAAAGAGGAAACATCCCCTGGAAAACAGAGCTTGCCACGAGAAGCTCAACGGCTGCATGCGGTGCCCTGGCTGAGCACAGGCAGCGCCCGCTCATTCCACCTGCTCCTTCCTCTTCCTCGGGACCAATCCCGCCGGGACGCCCCTCTCCCCGGCACCAGCCCGTGCCGCAAAGCGCTGCGGGGCGGAGGCTGCGTTTTCGGCCCCTCTGCCCAGAGCAGCAGTTCCCACCAGTACCACTCACACAGAAGCCACCGCCAGGCTCAGATCCAGGCCCAAGAGCTGGAGCTGGGGGGACGCAGAGACAACGCGACAGGGGAACCAAGAGCCCCCGCGACCCCCTGGCCGTGCCCGCGCCGCTGGAAACCGCAGGAAGATCTGCCCGACTGCCCACAGCGAGGCACAACCGGGCTGCAGCAGCTCAACTCRTCGCTCGGATCTGCCAGGTTCACCGCTAGGCAGCAGGCACTATTCAGGGAATTAGCAAGCCCCAAGGCTCTAAATTCCAGGATTGCGAGGGATCTGCTTGCTCCTCGCTTTGCAGCCCGGCTCAGGGAAGGGGAGCGGCCCAAATCCTTGGCTGTCCATCACGTGGGCAGCGCAGCGGCTGCTCCGGCACAAAATGAACGCTTCATTAAGGGTTTGCTGCAAAGGTCTCTGCCGTTGCGGGACGCGGCGACGGTGACGAGGAGCCGCCGCAAACACGCACGTGCCCCGGGAAGCCCACGAGCAACAGCGYGAAACCAGCGCCAAAAATGAAACGGGGAACGTTAACCGCCGYCTCCAGTGACAATTCCCCTCAAACGGCCCCGTTCGCAACCGAGTCTTCCTTTCCACACACCGATCCTGACCCCAGGCCARCACGGAGAAGTCACGGCAAAGACTAGGTGATGATCAGAGTGTTTTATGCCTCTTGGCCAAACARATGCATCCCCCTCACCAGAGCAAACCTGTTAGTTTGGATTAATTCACAGCAAAAGCAAGGAGCCAGGAGCCGCACGGAGGCGCTCGGCACGGGGCCGGTTTAGCGTTCGATGCCGACACGAGCCCACGCGCCGCCGTGGAAAGGTTTTATATGCGGGATGCTCATCAATTTTAACTGACCAAATGCTGGAAAATCCCCCCGTGGGCCCTTAAACCCCTCGATTTTGTGCTAAAGCGCTGCCTGATCCCAAGCCATCGCCTCCCGTGCCTCTGTTCACAACCGCAGGAAGCAGGAATTCCCACCGCCATGCACAGAAGGCGGCATTTGGGCGACGCTCCGGAAGCCTCGTGCACTTTATTAGTACAACGTAGTTTTGTTCGTTTACTTGACGATCTTATCGCATCCCGGCAGGTGCTTTTCAAGATCGCCAGGCACAAAACTAGCGGGATACGCGGGATCCCAGGCCACTCCTGCATGCCAGCTCTTGGCAAAGTCACTCCATTTACTTACTGCTATCTGAGTGTCTAGATCTTTAATGACATCAGTGACCGCCGTGGGCCCAGCGAACGCACAGGCCATTTTCCGGGAGCTTTGGGGCTTTCCAGCAAGCCAGTGTTAACCTACTCTCTCCTCYTCCTCTTCCGTGCAGCTCCCACGCCTACAGGAATAGCAGATATTTTGCATTTGCATCACCCATTAAATCACACGGAGGGTTTCACCAGGCGCCACATCAGAGCACGCCACGTCCTTACTGCAGCACACGGGGGATATAAGAGGCCACTACCACTATTTTAGGTGTAGGTGGGGGCCCAGCTGTGCTGCCACAAGGCACCTCCGGGGATCCTGACGTGGGATTTCGGCAAAACTTCAATGGACGCCAGAAGAGGGAGGGATTCTTGGGAGTGCTGGTGTTTGGATTAACCTGCCCCCTTCCACGGTGGCAACGGCTCTTGTGTTAAAGCCGCCAGCTCTTGACCAGCGCGCTCCAGTTCTCAAGCACTGGTAGCACTGCAGCACAGGATGGCAGTGAACGAAAAGTCCTTTTTTCCCCTCAGAGATCTGCGCTGAGGAGCGGCTCAAACCTCCTTCCTCCCTGGAGCSGCTCTGGAAAAGCGGAGCCGGAACCCCATGGAAACGAGACCCCGGGCAAACGAGAGGGCTTCAAGAAAGCCGGGTTCCTTCTCGCCCTCCGCCACGGCCACGTCCAACGCGTCCCGGGTGGGAAGACCCCCGGGGTGGAGCCGGGACGGGGCTCGGCCGCCCGGGGGCCCTGGACGCGGAGCCCGGGCCAAGGCCGCGGTCAGCCCGCCCAAAGCCGGGCCCAGGCCCCCAGCGCCGGCCCGGGCGGGGCCGCCGGGAGGCCGCGCACGGCGGGGCGGCCTCAGGCCGCCGCTCCGCACCCGAAAACGCCGCCTTTTCACCCAAAGCGCGAGCGTGCCGCGGCGGGCGAGGCGCGCAGCAACCCGCGGCGCCGGCCCGGCAGCGGGT